TATCCACTCTAAAAGAGAGTATTGTTCTTGAGTGTTTTTAGTGTTCTTAGACACTTGACAAGAGAAGGTATTTCTCTTGTTGTTCGAAGGAAGGGCTGTTTCCTTCGAAGGTTCGTTGAGGTTCGTGTGACTCGAATTCTCAAGTTGTACGGGTTTGTTAAGCACCGTTAAGCTTAACGAGATAGTAGTGTAGCTCGAGAGAGTCTCTCGGGAGGTTGGATTAGCCACAAGTTGTGGTGAACCAGGGTAAAATCGGTGTGCCTCTTTCTTTTCTCTTTACTTCTCGTTTATTCATTTTTATTCCTGCGATTTCTTGATCAAACGCTATTCAACCCCCCTCTAGCGTTGGTCTATTATTTTAACAGTTCTAAAGGATAGTTGTGCAGATACTGAAATTCCTTTAGATTACTGGTTGAGTCTAGGAATAATTCCATAAGAAAAATTGTGGAAACTTTTTATTCTACATTTGCAACAAATTTCGGTGAAGATAGTTTACTACAACAAAGAGTAATTTTACCCCCAACGCTTGAAGTCGTTGAACCAATACATCAATATATGATTATAATGAATGGTGGTCGAGAAGGTCCACTTGAGTCTGTCTTTGCAATTAAAAAATGTTTAAATGTTACAAGACAACCGTCTCTAAGAAACAAAGATGAATCATGGAAAAAATGTAGGACAAACGATTTTTATACTGCGAGTTTCATTGACTTACTCCATCACGTACATGAATGCCATTTAAGTTTCAAATAAGAAAATATCCGATTATGGTATCGACCATAAACAAAAGTAAGGGGCAATCACTTTCTCATGTTGGTCTATTCTTGAAAAAAACTATTTTCAATCACGGATAGATGTATGTAGCAATGTCTAGGGTACGGTCTCACGAGGGATTAAAAATAATGATGTGTAATTCTAAAAATACTCCATTGATCTAATACTACAATTAATGTAGTTTATAAAAGAGATTTTTGAGAATGTATGATTGATGTCTATCTTCCACTTATATATATCTTATAATTTATTTAATTTTAAATAAACTTAGTAACATAAAGTGTGAGTTTTAAAGTATACTATATTCAATACATAATATTCCAACGAAGTAGGAGTATTTATTAAATAATATCCGGTTACAATTGCTTTCGTGTATTTTCACAATTATAATAAGCAGAATCTCTCCGTGCATCGCACGGGAGATGCACTAGTTATTATTCTAAAAAATGAAAAAGAATATACTTTAGAAACAAGTTAAATAGAAAACTGAGAAAGTAATATTTAATTATTAGACGTCGGAAAAATTATTTTTAAAATACATTGACAATGTCAATCTAATTCTACTTTTAAAATACATTTTTATTGCTACTTGTAATTTGAGTTTCTAAAGTTTTGATGTTTTATAAGGATGAGATATTTTAATAAAAATACTATCTCTTCTATATATTGATTATTTAAATTTAATTACTTTTTAATGTATATATAAATTAAATATTTATTCTAATGTATATATGAAGAAATTATTAAAATATTAAATTAATATTCTAACTTCAAAAAAAATATCATAAAATAAAAAATATTATTACATTATAATATGAATGATTATTCTAATATATGAAATAACTTATTTATTTTATTAAAAAGTAATCATAAAATAAAAATTATTGATTATGATATAATATGAATTATCATTACAATTTTCAAACGTTATTATAAGGTCAAATCAAATTATTGATTTAAATTTTAAACCAAATCATAATTAATTAAATCCAATCAGATCAGATCCAATCAGATCATACCAGATCAGATAAGATCCAATCAGATCAGAACTTATTAAAATCAGATCAGATCAGAAAAAATAAGTTGAACGGAACGGAGCTTTAGATTACAAAAAAAAGAGCTGGAAAAAATTACCATTAAATAATAAAGCCGATGTATTAATCCACTCTTCATGTATCTCATCTCCAACACTACATCTTTAGTCATTCCTAACTGCATCTCCTTTCCTGTGATAAACTGAAGAAAATTAGCCAGTACAATACACTTGCTTTGAAAAGCTTTTAGAGTTACTAAAATCGAGCTTATCGCCAAGTTGGAGGTGAATTTTCATCAGCTGAATTTAGAACTCAAAAGACCTCTTTGATTCTATTCAATAGAAAGAAAAAAAGACGATGAGAAATGTTTACGGTTGAAAAACGTACACACGTAGCACAATATTACTATGAAAGTCTTTTTCTTACGCCAATTGCATTCATTAGGATTAACATACATGTGAGAGAACAGAAAAGTACAAATTCAAATTTTAGAACATGTAAAAATAAAGTGCATGACGATAAATTGCATAACGATAAGAATAAATTGCATGACGATAAATAAATTGCATGACGATAAAAATAAATTGCATGACGAAAATAAATTGCATAACGCAACTTTTAGTCATATCTGCCAAAGTTTTTGAACGGCCTCAAGTTCAAAAACTTTCTCCTGGATGTTAGTGGCCATTAACAACATAACAATATTACTCAAGTGCCTCAAAGGTTTCTGCCTATGATGAGATATGAGGCTATCTCTGGTTTGTACCCAATTGATGGACAATAAATCCACCGAATGATCCAATTCAAAAGAATAGATCACAAGAAATAAAGTAAGAATAAGAACTCGAATATTATATGTGTATTATTAGCTTGATTCAGCTTGAGCATTCCCCATTTGGATCCCTTCTATTTATACAAGGCCTAAGTTTTTTATTTTACAAAAAATTTTCAAACACCCTAATTCATCCCCCCCTTTTAGGGTGTAACCAACTTTCAGAACATATTAGAGAATTGAAGTTACATACTTTAAGTACGTATTTCAGTTCAGAGATTTCTTTTTGCATATCATATGAATAAACTTAACACTTTTTTTGATGAGACCCTTTTGCGTATATATTCGAGATGAACTCGGTCGGTTTAGAAATCAGCTTTTCTTTCACCTCTATGAGGTTACCATCATCGGTCTTCAGTTGAAGAATTTTTCATCACAAGTTGTCAACATCAACGGCATTCAGTTAGCCAATTTATACTACGGATAATGTCAATTTCCTTGTATGGTATTTTAATGAGGCTTTGCAAAGAATTCTTGCTTAACGAATGATTTCGATTCACATATTATAATTACATATTGTGTCATAATGAGTTAGACATCAAAGTGGGATACTTAGACAATAGAGTTTAGAATAGAGTTAGACATCAAAGTGGGATACTTAAACAATAGAGTTTATTGATTCTAAACGTTCGTGTTTGAATCAGCGATTGGATCATTTTGAGTTAACATGAAGATCTTAATTTGACACAGAATTCACAGATGTTGTTTGAAATATCAACATTAATTGTTTGTTCATGATCGTCTCGTTCCCACGGAGATAAATTTTCACTTTCGTCATTCGCGATGCCATAAACACGTTGATATTATATCAGAGATTCATTTATTTTTGTTTATTCGTTCGTCTCTTGTCGAGTATGAAAATTCAACTTGAGTCTACACTCGATACGATTTCAAAACTAACAATCATTATCTAATGAAAATTTTAACACAATCAATATTTACTAAATAATTTCTCATTACCTTTCCTGGAGCTGAGGGATGCGAGAGTTGTGGATGAGATTGATATTTTTTTTAAATCAAATTTTTGATCTGAAGATCGGCTTTAAAACCATTTACCTTGATACCAAATTGTAACACCCTAATTCGTCCAGGTCTGTAACCCCTTTCAGACAAAAGTATTAACTTAGAAATCGTAAAAACTTAAAACATTTCAAACACATTTATTTATCACAATAATATTTTTCATAAATGAAAGAGTGCAGAGTTTTCAATACTACGGAAGCTTAACAAATCATAATCACAAACATGAATAATTTATGTCATTCAATTCAAAACCATTACATCCATCTCGACTATCTCGCCTTCGTCTGCCTCCACGATCCCGTCACATCATTCTTTCTATTTTTCTATTTATCTGCGTGTAGCAAATAAAACATATTACACGCTCAGCGTTGAAGCGGATTAAAATATCTAATGTGTCGAACATCCATATAACTTGAATCTCAATTCAAAATCAAATAATTTGATATCATTCACATAATGTTCAGTTCAAACATTGAATAATCAATATTCAACACTCATTGATATTCAACATTCAACAATACCCGCAAGGCCTATTCTAATATGAGGTCTATCTTAGAGGTCTTCTAGATAGCCTTAACAATACAATTCATTTCTCATCGTTCCATTTATTTTGAATCATAGTTCAACAATTCATAATCGTCATTTTATTCAGAATATTAATCAAAGCGTAATCATCATAGTCATTAATCAATAATATTCATCATAATCATCAATCGATAATAATTATAATAATATCCAATAACAAATAGCGGCCTAGCATCGAGTGTTAACATCCTAGCTTACTGTCATGCATCAAACAAGGTTCTTGGATTTATCAAAGCATCATTTTTACTTCCAGAAATCATTTCCATGTTGATTATAATGGATTGATATCAAAAATAGGATTTATTATTTCAAAAATCAAGTTTCTGAATACTTCTCAGTTCAGACGGTAACCTAAACGGTATCTGGGTATCAACTTACGGTACCTCGGTACCACCCAAAAAGGTACGGGGTGCTGTTTGGCACCAGGTACCGCCAGAGGGGAATATTTTCTACGCGTAGTTTTGAATAGTGTCATCATCAACCTTGAGCAAATTTTCAAAAATGTCATTTTAAGTAGGGCTGTTAACGGATAACCGAAAATCCAATTACCATCTGCATCTGTATACGTTTAAAGAGAAAATATGCTCATCCATTTTAAATGGATATTATACGTAAAAATATGTGCAGCTACATTCCAGCTGGCGGTGCTAATATGGTGGCTTTCCATATATTATGATCTGCTCCACGCCGCATCCGTTGAGTATATTTCTTGCCGGCATCCTTAAATTTGATGTAATTTATTAATTATCCTTATATTTTTCGTTCGTAATCATAGGGAGGGCCCTTGTACCCATTTTCTCAAACTAATAAAACCGATAGTTTAAAAAGAGCAGTTCGTGAATCACTTAATTTTTCTCTTTTAAATGAATTTCAATAAAAAAGTCTTTATTATCTTCAACATTGTTCCTTGTCAAACCCAAAATTAGAAAGGAATAGAGGGAGTAATAACAGATCTTTTTTTTATTTTTCTTCTTTAATGAGAAAAAAATCCTTTCAAGGAGAAGCCATTCTTCAGCAAACGAATCAAGCATTTTAAATAACAAAAGGGTTACTTGTTGCTCTTCAAGAAGGTTTCGTCACTCAGCCATTGAAAGTCAGTGACTGAGATTAAAAATGCCACCCTTTAGCACGCCAGTATCTCTGAGCATTTTCACAGCAGCGTGCAGTTTTTATCTTGAGGGAGAGCTTGTAAGCAGTCTCTGTTTTGTTTGATGCCAGCAGTTTGTTGTTCAACTTGCTACAAATAAGCTTGCTAGGGTAAAATCCTCTATGGCACAATGCTTCCTCCATCACAAGGACGGCGTTCTCGAGCTGCCCCGCGTTGCAAAGCCCATTGATGACGTACTCATACACTTGCACATCTGATGAATAACCACTTTCCTGCATCTCATTCCATATGTTCAGTAGCGTCCCACATTTACCAAACCTAGAAATCCTCATAAGCAACAACTTGTATGCGTTAAACGATATAATGCAACCGGCTTCTCTAGCTTTTTTATAAATAACCAGAGCAGCATGAGGTGGGCCATAGCTACATAAAGGTTCAAGAAAAGAAGTTATTGTTCCAGTGCTGGGAAGTATTCCTCGACTTACCATTTCATCAAACATCTCAATTGCATCGGCCACTCTTCTGGCCTTGAGAAAAGAAGAAATGAGCCGTACATAGGTCTCAACATTTGGCTCACAACACGTAGTCCTCATCTTTTTATAATACTTCAACCCTTCATCAATATGACTGACCGACAGAAAATTAGAAATCATGGCATTGTAAACCTCAGCATGTTGTATGCACCCCTTCTCATCTAGACCCTCAAATATTTCGATGGCAGCATGAATCTGACCAGCCCTTCCTAAACATTCAAGAACATAAGCATAAGTCACGTGATCCGGAGCAAAACCATCTTCAAGCATTTTCTTCAAAGTCCTCTCAACTTCACTAACTCTACCAAATCTTGCCCACCCACCGATGACAATATTGTAGGTTGTAAGATCAAAGGGAACCCTCTCCTTCATTTTAACAAGCAAGGAGCTTGCAGCATCCACGTGTGATCGCGTGCATAGAGACTGCAAAAGGGAATTCAGTGCCTTAGCATCACATTTTAAGCCGTAGTCATCTGATTTCCCAAACAGTCGGATAGCTTTCGAGATTTGGCCAGCTCGAATGAAACTATTAAAAACAATGGACATTGTACTTGATGTGGGAACAAGTCCTTCAGCTCTCATCCTCTCAAACAATGCCATCATATGAGTGAAAAATTTCCTTCTTCCTAATGCTCTAAGAACTACATTGTAAGCATTCACGTCTTTTGCAATGCTTTTCTGTTTGATTGCCCACCCGAAAAAAGTAACCATGGCCTCACCTCCTAAATTTCCTCTGTTCACTACTTTAGCTACCAAATCAAGCGTTGGATCTACGCCAACAGAAGCTAAGGCCCTCTCAATTGCAGGCATCCCATGGAGTTTCTGAAGAAAAACGCCTCGGAATTTATCTTCGGGCGATAAAAAATAATCAAAGGCCTTAGTCTCCGATTGCTTAAGTGCATCAGATGGATTGAACGCATTGGAGTTTTTAGTAAAAGAGATGAGAGAAATTGGAAAAAGATCGGACAATTGACACTGGATATGAGATTCGCTGGTCTGATAGTCATTTTGAGTGGGTGCCTCTGGTTGTGGTATGTTCTTGAGGTGAATAACGGGGATATCCAGTGTATTGTAGGTTGAAAATGGAATTAAGGAAAATAGCGAGCAGAGATACCCGCGAGAATCCCTAGCGGAGAAGACGGTGACCGTGAAAACTCTTGGGATGAACATCTTTCTTGATTTTGGGCAAGAGACCGTCAAAGAATGCCTTATAATTAGGAATAGACCTGGCAACTGGTTCCGATTCGGGTCTCATTCGGATATATGTTATAATCGGTTTAGGTCGGTTTGGTTTGGGTCGGTTCGGTTTCGAGTTTATTTCGGTTTGACTGATTTTCGGTTTCGGTTCAGGTTTGTATTGGTTCGGGTTTGTATCAGATCGGGTTTATATCGATTTGGGTTTGTATTGGTTCAGGTTTTTATCGGTTCGAATTTATATTGATTTGGGTTTGTATCGATTTAGATTTATATTAGTTCAGATATATTTTAAATATTTACTAATAAATCAAAAATATCACTGATAAGTTCATTTTGTTCTTATTTTATTCTATATATTTTAAGCGTTATTACACGAAAATGGTAATAAATTTACACATTAAAGTGTCTACTAGTGACAAAACTTATGTTTTGTCTCAAGAAGAATAAAATACGGGTTCCAAATTAAATTAAGTGGATTTATCAAGTTTATGTGTTGGAAAACATTTTCACTTTGACATTTTGCTAATGAAAATGTTTGTTTCCGTTTAGGTTTTGATATTGACAAACCGTCGGGAACATGGAACAAAATGAAAAGATAGAAAAAGTTCTTTGAAGAAACAAAAATCACAAGAACGGCATTGACGTTGCTAATTAAAGATGGCGACACTGGCGCTTTGAAGACATATTCCAAAGACTTAGGTTTTTATAGTAACAAGCTCATTCAATTTCTCTACGTCATGGCTCAAAACAAAATATGTTTTTCATGCATCAAATTAATGTTTTCATAAGTGGTTTTTAAGTTTCTAAAACCCGTGGTTCTTTCTTAACCAAAACCATAACCATCGGTTATCGGCGTTCGGCTATGGCGTTCGGTTTTCAGCATTGGTTATTGGCATTGATTTTAACCAAATGGTTTTTGGGTTTTTATCTTTTGTTTATGCTTCTGGACACATTTAAAGTTTTTCCAAATGATTAGTTTTCAAAAACCATAACCTTTGTTTTTCGGCGTTGGTTATCAGCATTCGGTGTTGGTTATCGGTGTTGGTTTTTGGCGTCCAAATAAATCAAGTGGTTTTTAATATTTTATGATTGGTTTTTACTTCTGGACATATCCAAATGGTTCTACAACAAAAACATGTTAAAAACCACCTTTCGTTTTTGGTCTTTTGGTGAAAACCATGTGAAACGGCATAAACTTGGCTAGCCGTGGTTTTTACCTTAATGAAGTGGTTTTTAAGTTTTTATACTTGGTTTTTACCTAAAATACATTATATAAGAGTTTCCAACACTTGGTTTTCATTTTGGAGAACTTTGGTTTTTGACATCGGTTTTCGGCGTTGGCTGCCAAACCATGGTTCTGGCAAACCATCCCAACATGCATGTCGGAAATCCCAACAGCGATGTTGGCCTTCAGAAGCCCTGGGCAGTAAGTTTTTGAACAGCGATGTTCATGGTTGAACAGCGATGTTCTCAAATGACCGTTGGGTTATTTAAGACAAAATCTTTCCATTTTTGAAAGTCAAACACCCCAACATCGATGTAGACTTCTAGACATCGATGTTTTGATGACTGTTAGCCACTTTTAGAGGAAATTCAAAGCCAAAACAGGGATGTTCACTATATGAACAGTGCTGTCGGGCTAGATTTCAGTAGATCCACTTTTATTTCATTTCCACAAATCAAGCCAATCAACCCCAATCTTTTCACAACCGTTGCACCTTGTTTTTGGGTATAAAAAGGGGTCTCTTGGGTCTACTTTTCACAACCATTCCACACATATTTCATAGCTTTACATTGCATCATTTCATAAACTTTTTACATAGCTTTTTTGAGCCATTTCTTGAGGAATTGAGTGTGTTCTTGATCTAAATTAGTTTACTCATATTCTACTCTTTAAGAGAGTTTTTGTTCTTGAGTGGTTAAGTGTGGTGAACACTTTAAGGGAGGTTTGTTCCCTTGGTTATACGAAGGAAGGGCATATTCCTTCGAGTTGAAGTCTTGGAGTGCGGTATCTCCGAGCAAGTGTATTGAGGCTCGTGGGACTCGAGTTCTCAGGTTGTAACGGTTTGTTAAGCACGCGTAAGCTTAACGGAAGTAGTGTAGATCGAGAGAGTCTCTCGGGAGACTGGACTAGCCACACGTTGTGGTGAACCAGTATAAATCTTGGTGTTATCTCTTTACGCTTTTTTACGTTCTTTACTTTATCCCTACGATTTTTATTCTGCGAAAATTTATAAACATTCTCGTGCCTCACTATTCACCCCCCCCCTCTAGTGAAGGGCACTTATTCTAACATTATGTTCCAAATTCGATGAAAAGTTTTAGATTTTAAAGATCATAATACTTCAGAGGTAGAAATCAACGTCCGGGAGCCAATTGGGCCAATACAGAACAATTTCGGGTCCAAATTTGCAAGGAATCACGATTGGAGGCAAATTGGGCGCAGGATTCAGGTCCTGGGCATACAAGGTTGGACACCCGTGGTAGTTGGACGCCCAAGAAACCAGAGTTGACACGGCTTTGCCATGCGGCGTACGCGGACTGGGCGGAACACGTATTAAGGGCTCGGGCGTCCAAAGTTGGACGCTCGTACTCTCTGCCCTATAAATACAGCGATCCTCTCCCCCATTTTACACCATTCTACAACCCTTACTCGGATTTTCTCCTCTTTTTCACTCAATATTAGTTGTATATTAGTTTAATTACTATTTTGAGAAGTATTTTCCGAAGGATTTGACTCCCGATCTGTTCTATTCTGCTTTTACGGAAGTTGTAAGTTTTCTTTCTTTAATAAAATGATGTTTTAATTTATGTTTGCATAGTATGAGTTAGGATCCGGATCTCAGGGTCCGGACTAGTTTGGTTGTTTATTTTTTATGTTAAATTAATGTTGGAATGGTTAATCTATTGTTCTTGCCTTACTTGGTTAATTAAACTCGTAAGATTTAATTGGCCATTCATTGAGAAAATATCGTATGTCAAATGAGTATGATATTCAAGTGCAACAGATTAAGTACAAATCTAGAAATGGTTAATCTATATTATTATTCTAATTGTTATTCTATACTTATACTATGTGAAATTTATTTATTTTTTTTACTTCGCTCCTTCTATATTCGTTCCGAGAAGACTTACATAAACCAATCCTAATCTTCGCCTAGTTAAAGTAACTAAACTGATTCCCTTCATCCACTCCTCGAAAGATACGACACTCGGAGAGAAAACTAACCCTTTACTGGGAAGGTTTACTACCCGAAAAACTACGATTGTCAAATGGCGCCGTTATCGGGGAGTGGCACGACATTAGTTTAATTTCTTTTAATTAGCTTGGGTGAAGATTGGTTATAACGATCTTCTCACTTCTTTGTCACCAACCACCCGTAATAATTATTATGGATAACTCCAGTGGTTATTACGGTCCGCCTTCTTTCGACCAATCACCCAACCGCCCTCCGTTTCAAACCCATCAACCTTATCACCCACATCAAAACCCAAATGATGATGACTACCAAGTCAACAATGGGTCTGACTACTATCCCTACCATGAGGAACCACCATATGATATCCCGTCTAGGAACTTTGGATATTCTCCACACCTAGACACTGATGGGGATAACTATTATGAACCTCATGGAGAGAACGATGACTATGACCAATATGGGCCAATGTACGACAACCAACCTGATCTACTCGTCGAAGAAATCATAAGATTAGAACAAAAAATCTTCTATTTCGACGAAGTTCTATTCGATGAAGGCTCTTAGTAGGAACCACCTTACTGTCGTGACTACACCCTGTTTGCTGAAGAACAAATTGAAGCAAACAAGGTGGCAATTCGAGAAAGAGCAAAACTTCTTGAATCGGTCCGGAAGGAAAAGGAGTTCGAAAGGAAATTATGCGAAGGATCAGAATTGATGCATAAAATGTTGGGTGACTTTTAAAGAGAAAGACTAGAAGCCGAGGCTAAAGCTGATAAACTAGTCGATGACCTTTGTAAGGCTGTTGAGCTTAAGCGCTCCCTAAAATCTCAAGATCCAATGTGGGAAATTAATGCTCAAAAAGAGGCTCTAGAACCTAAGGCCGACCCTAAAACATTCAACCATTTGGCCCTAGTTCTAGAAGATTCATCCAGACTAACACTATCACAGAAACCCAAGAGCATAACAACTCTCGCTAGGGCTACTGTGGTGATGTTACCTGAACCCCTTCCCAGCTCAGTCCCAACCAGCATTAACGTACAGAAGGTGGAACCAACTTCGGGACCTAACTCAGAACCACCTATGTTTGTTCAAGAGCGGAAGGAGGAGGAAGTTTTGCCTATGGCAATAAACAACCATCTCCTTAATTGTGTTGAAGACACACTTCCAAGGGAACCTGTTCTGGAGGAAGTAGAGCCCACTAATTACCCCCAAGATTCCGACATCCAAGAGTCTGAGGATGGATCTATAGATGAGGAAATACTTTGCACTGATAAACCAATTTCGTCTATAGAAACCTGCACAAATAGTGATTCATCTGAAGATTCAGACCATACTTTCTTTGATTCCCTACTCGACGGGGGTGACCATGTCTGCCCAAAGGATGGTTGGAACTTAAAGAGTTGGGATGAACTTCTGGTAAGTGGTATTAAGGACTCTTCCATGGGGGAAATCACGGTCATAATCGTTAAACCACAATTGGATGGTCAGCCCATTGAAGACAAGGAAATCAATCTTGCTATGTGTTATATCCGGGCTTGGCCCTATCATACCCTCCCCCATATCCCACACCCGAGGCTGAGCCCACACTCCCCATACCTTCCCTAAACATCCAAAATATTTCCTTTTCAAAATAAAGTTTTTCCTACTCTTATTTTAGCCCAGGGCCGAAAATAAGAGTGTGTAAAATAAAACCTTTTGTTTGTTGTTATTTTCCTTTTTTTTAACCCTTTTATTAAGCCAATAAAACCCTCCCTTTATTCCATTCACCCCTGGCCAAAATACACTTCACAATCCCAATATAAACACCCACAAAAGGCCAAAAATCTGACCCACCACTAGCCACTCATTCCTGCCCATTTTCCCTCACAAAAAACCCAAACCTATAAGTCCAAAACCACCCATTATAGCCCCCATCCCTGCCCCCTTTTCTCAGTAAACACAACCCCTCATATTTACCCAAATAATAGCCTTAAAACCCAGAAAACAACCACTACAAACCAAAGCTCACAACCCCCACAAACCCAGCCTCATCTCTGATTTTTAAGACCACCTAGGAGACAGGATTGAAGAAAGATTACCCCATGTTTGGAGGAGGATGTTGCTAGGAAGCTTCCTCATGTTCACATTCATTGCATTGTGAATTATTTCCCCCTGTCCCCTGTCTATATAAATCAGGCCCTATGGCCAAATGTAACACATCTCTGAATATTGAAAACATCTTTTACTCTTTGAGTATTATTAAAATAGTGTGATGCTATTTTAGCCAAATTCCTAATTCTATATCTTAAGAGTGGTTATCTTAAGTGTGAGTTTTAGGTTCTAGATATTTGATTAAGTGTGTCATATCTTAATTAAATTCTAGATTCAAACCCCAAGTTAGGATAAGAGTGTGTAATATCTCTTAAACACCAACTTGGTTTATCCATCCCTGATTTT